GACGCAGATACCGCAACCGATACAGAGCTCCTCTGAGATCCATGCTATCTGTTGACAATGTGACAAGAGGATCAAGGGAGGAGTGTCGAGAGTTGACCTTGGAGCCCGCTGTGACTTCTACGCAAAGCTTTCCTGTGACGAGGTAAGTCAGGAGGGAAGTCAGTTGAGACTTGTCATCGTATCCAATATGCTGGCAGTAGTTGCAGCAAGGGTGGTAGTGAGGAGAGGAAGCAGAGGAATTGTGGAGAGTTTGCTGGAGGAGACGGGCGAAGCAAGACGGGGATGACGAAAGAGAGGAGACGGCAAAGGAAGATTCAACGGAGGAATGGAAATGAGATGGGGGTAGGGGAGCAACGAGCGGGAGAGGGTAAGGAGGGAGAGGAGCGGGAAGAGCAGAGCAGGAGAGGTACTCACCCATCCTGACAACAGGGCAGAACTTCTGACACTCCTGCGCGCATTTCTTGGGCTTGCACTTCTGATCATCGACGATGGCAATACGTGTGAGCTGCGAGGAAACCGTCATAAGTGAGTCGAACAATGCAACAACAAGATCACTCCTCAACAGCACACCAGCAGCACTATATCACCAGCATTACATCATTCGCATTACAATCGCATTACAACAGCAGCAATACATCATTCGCAATACAACAGCAGCAATACATCATTCGCATTACAACAGCAGCAATACATCATTCGCAATACAACAGCAGCAATACATCATTCGCATTACAACAGCAGCAATACATCATTCGCATTACAACAGAAGCAATACATCATTCGCAATACAACAGCAGCAATACATCATTCGCATTACAACAGCAGCAATACATCATTCGCATTACAACAGCAGCAATACATCATTCGCATTACAACAGCAGCAATACATCATCAACACTGCAAGGACAAGTCTTGATCACAATATCTCAGCACAACGTGTTTCCAACTACCATCAGGGCATGCAGCATATAATCGAATCCACCCCCATTCCTCCCTTACCTGTTCGCTCTCGTCCTCTTTCTTATTCTTGGGTGGCATCTTGAAGGAGAAGCTGCGGGAGTATTATGCTTTCCTCGGTGGCTGCAGCACTAGAGTATTGCTGACCTTGACAGAAGGGGAGAGACGGTTCAAACTATCACTGACGAAAGGTCAAGCTTGGAACCAGCCTGCTAGTCACGGAGACAGTTAGCCTGAGCTTCAGGGTTGCTTCCTTTCAGGCCTTCCTCTTGTGCACTTCCTAACTCGCACATTTCTGCTTGCTCAATTCATTAATGCCCCTCCCTCCCCCCTCCCTTCTCCTCCATGTCTATCTAATGATCTATCCGGCGCCCCTCATGCACCTGAACCCTTTTCCTTGGCTTCTATCTTCACCCTCGCCCTGAATGATGAACGCTTCCTGATTCCACGACTTTCATATTGTCATTTTTCTGTCGTGTCCTTCCTTCTTCTCCGTCCTCGCACCTCCGTTCCCACCGCCACCTCCCCTCCTTTATAATCGCCTCATCTCCCTCCTCCCCTCTCCTCTCCCTTTCTCTTCATTTGTCCCGTATCCCCTGTCTCCTCCTCTCTTCTCCTCCTCCTCACTCTCATTCTCTCCTCTCTCTTCTTCCTCTGTTCTCATCCTCTCTCCTTCCTTCTTCTCTCCTCCCCTTCCCTGTTCCGCTCGCTTTCTCCGCCATGTCCACATGCGGGCTGACGCAGCTTTTTTTTTACTTTTATCTTTAGAAATAGTTTTAGTGTGGGTACAACTGGTTCAGATATCGTACGAGATATCTACAAACCATATGTGTACTGAGTAAAATAATATATATATATTGAAGATGTTTTTTGTTACCAGGAATCACATACAGCATTGATGATCGTAGATATCTTGGTGTTTACTGAAGTTTTATTACAAAAAAGTTAATCTTAAAATATTGTTTAAAAATCACTTATCAATTTAAATGTACCAAAAACCAGTAGCATATATTTCTAAAAATCCATGCATCCCTTATAAACTAGACCCCCATCTTGCTATCATAAGGTTGGGTGTTTTCAGGGTAGGGGTTCCTCGGATCAAAATGTTCTATTTCCGGACAAATTGATCGGCGGGATCCTGAATGAGGGCAGTGGAGGAGGCGATGGTAGAAGAATGATACGGTAGTGCGCGCTGGGTGAAACGAAGATGACGGGAATGGGTGAGGGAGGTTGTACAAGGTGAAGGATAAAGATTCTTCATGCCTTGCAAGATGGATAGGCATTACGATAAGGTAGAATGAAACTGCAAGAGAGATAAAGTTGACAACTTCAGTGATGCTGATTGGCTCGAGGAGACTGTGCAATGATGTGGGTTGCGTGGCGTTGTAGTTTTGAAAGATGAAGATGCAAAGAGGGTCAGAAGGGCGAAAAACATCAGGGGAATTACACGACAGACTGGAGCCCGCCCTAGCTTAATGGCATGGATGTGTTACATACAGCCTGTGTTATTAGATCTATGACCAGTGACAGAAGTCTATGAAGAGAAGAGCTATGAAACTTCCATCTTCTTTGCAATCTTTCATAAACGTCTCTACATTAACCCAACATGAAATGAGGCAGACCTGTGTCTCGTGCATTCTAGCTACATGCTACATAATGATTCTCACTTGGACAGAGAAGGAGGAGATTTGAAATGATTGAGCTCGCACAAGGTCAAGGGACACATAACATGTCTTTCAATCTATGCACATCCATCTTCGCCTTGTCTGCGCCGAACTTCAACGCACATCGAACGTTCTGTCACACCCTGAAGCTTCACGGGTCAAAGAGCTCGAACGTGATTGCTTCCAGCACTGCTGCTGGATCGCACACAAAGGTTCCAATCCTGCTGATAGTCCTTTGCGTGACTTTGATAACGATAAAAGTTGAACCCACTAGTCTTGTGTGCTGTCCCTTACTTACCTTGGGTAGGTCCAGCAACTAACTCCCTTGTCAACCTCACTTTCCTGTCATCTTCATCTACCTCCATCTTTATGTAGCCTTCGTCCTATCCTGTGAGTTCTGAGAGATGAAGATTCGCCAAACATCTTCCTCTTCCCCCACATAATCCACCTACCTTCCGCCAACTCCATAGCCTCCGCTTTTCCTGATTGATTGACTGATTGTTTCCTGACCGACCGACCGACCGACCGACTGACTGACTGATTCAGAGAGAGACAGAAAGAGCGAGAGGAAGGGAGGGAGAGCGAGGAAAGGTGAAACGGAGGGAGAGGGAGAGGGACAGGGAGAGGAAGGGAGGGTGAGAGAGAGAGAGCGGGGAAGGGAGAGAGCGAGGGAAAGAGCGAAGGGTGC